GGTCTGCTCTACTGACTGTATTGAGCACTTTATTTAGTTATTTTGCGTACTGGAATCGGGGTTTCTTTTCTTTGGGCCTTGGACTTGTATGCTGGATGATTATTTTTGGTTAACGTACATGTTCTTGGTTTTTTCTTTTTTTATACTTTTTTCCCTTTGGTATTGGCTTGTTTATTTGCAAATCAAGACACCGTAGGTTTTCCGAACGAGTATAATTTCTTCTACTTATAAGGTTTCTATTAATAATATATATATATATATATATATATATATATATATATATATATATATATATATTTGCAATATTAGACTCTCACTCGTTCTAACTTTCGTTAAGTTCATGAATGCTTATTATCACTTCCGAAATTCTCGTTGCATATGTAGATACCGGTAGTAGTAACGCCTTCAAATAATGCTCGCACTAATAATACTTATTCAAATAGTAATCGCCGAATAGTAATTTGTATAATGATCAATATAGAGAAATAGTATAGTGGTTACTATAAAGAATAGCGATCACTTAGATGTCACGCTAATTCCTAATTATACGTTTCATTTACGATCACGTGATCTACTTATTTATTGATGCAATCGTCCGTCTTTGTTCACTGGTGATCTGTGTTCAAACTACACTTTATTCCTGTACAACAGTTTCAATTTTCAGGAATTATGAAGAAGCGTCAATGCACGAAAAAGCTAAAATATGTATCATAAAAATGCATTGACAATGATGTCATTACAAAAGATCATATAATAAAATTGAAATAAATATCAAGAGAAAAGTTATTTTCAGAAATTACGAAAAACGGTTCTGATAGAACAGAGCTATTATATGTATCATGTAAATACATTGATACTGACATTATAGGAAAGCATTATAACAGATCACACAATATAATATAGCTTTATATAAAGACATGTTATATTCAATGGCCAGGTATTATAACAAGTAATACTGATAGAATATGGATAATATTTGTATGAAGTAAATGCATTGTTAGTGGTTTTACTATAGAAAAGCATTATAAACGATCTAACAAAAAAATAATAAAGAAGTAATTAGGTATTCAATGTAAACGTATTATAAGTATAGAGCCTAGAATAGAGTCGTTACATTTCTAGAAATATTTTCTCTCTTATTATTATAACGACGCTAAACCATTTATGGAACTGATCTCTGTAGATGGGCTCCCGTGTATTTATATGTGTTCTTTGGTCTGTCCGCTTCTTTGGATCAAATATGCAGACTAGATTCGTCTCCCAACCCACTTCATTTGATGTATGTCCATTGCCTTTTTACATGATGATAACCTAATCGATTGCACAGTTGTACGCTTTTTTAACCAATAATGTCTACATTTACAGTTTTTGAGAGCGATATTGTAGGCGTTCACGTACTAAATGCGTTATTGCTTTATCCATTCCATCTCACAGTCAGCAAAGAGCATTGTCTTGTGTTCTATTGATTTTCTGACTTGACAAAGCTGATCCGAACGCATTGGTCTCCTCCCGCCATTAGTAATGATTTTGTTACTCGTATGGGGGTGTCTTCTGGCATTTTGCCAATGAAATTTCATTTACTTTGTCTCTACCTCTTCTTTTTAACACTCCAAATATTTGTTTTCATACACACATATTTCTTCTTCCTCTCCTTCTTCATCTCCTCCTTCTTCCTCTCCTTCTTCCTCTCCTTCTTCCTCTCCTTCTTCTTCTCCTTCTTCCTCTCCTTCTTCTTCTCCTTCCTCTCCTTTTTCTTCTCCTTCCTCTCCTTTTTCTTCTCCTTCCTCTCCTTTTTCTTCTCCTTCCTCTCCTTTTTCTTCTCCTTCCTCTCCTTTTTCTTCTTCCTCTCCTTTTTCTTCTTCCTCTCCTTTTTCTTCTTCTTCTTCTTATTCTTATTCTTCTTCTTCTTCTTCTTCTTCTTCTTCTTCTTATTCTTATTCTTCTTCTTATTATTATTCTTCTTCTTCTTATTCTTATTCTTCTTATTATTATTCTTATTCTTCTTATTCTTCTTCTTATTATTCTTATTCTTCTTATTCTTCTTATTCTTCTTCTTATTCGTATTCTTCTTCTTATTCGTATTCTTCTTCTTCTTCGTATTCTTCTTCTTATTCGTATTCTTCTTCTTATTCGTATTCTTATTCTTCTTATTCTTCTTCTTCTTTTTCTTCTTATTCTTATTCTTCTTCTCCTTACTTTCTTATTCTTATTCTTCTTATTCTTCTTCTTATTCTTATTCTTATTCTTCTTCTTATTCTTCTTATTCTTATTCTTATTCTTCTTATTATTCTTCTTATTCTTATTCTTATTCTTATTCTTCTTATTATTATTCTTCTTATTATTATTCTTATTACCACTTTTCACTGATTTGCTATTTTCATACAATCTTTTATGGAGACATTTACCTGAGACCTGAGGTAAGAGACTTAGTAAGCATATTATATTGAGTGTTTTTCTGACTAGTCAGGAACACAACCTTTTGTATCTCAGACAGTGAGAAGTTTCCGGGGATTTTCTTAATGATTGTATCAATGTACTTTTCATTTATTGCTCGTGCTCCTATGTTGCTTGAATAGTGGTTGCGTCTAAATGCCAATTTCTTGTCTATTCTATATCCAGGTCTGTATGTTTTGTAATTAGTCAAAATATATTGTCCTGACATTTTATCAAACGAGAGATCATCTAGATTTTGAAGTATTTCAATACTATATCTGGTCATCTTATTTTTTAATGATGCCGGTAAACATAGAGAATCCTAGACCACTGAAATATTTTCACCTTCTAGCATAGAGGTTTGGTGTTCACATCATTTTCTTCATGGGGAAAGTTATAAATTTGCCATGTCTTCCAATGCAACTATTTCCCTAGGCTATCATTTACATTAATTTTTTAATCAATTCACCCGTTCCACAAGACGATGATGCAACTAAGATACAAAGTGATATTGGTAGTGAAAGAGAATGAAAAAGACATTAGATAGAAGCGGAAATCGATTCCTAAACTGGAAACAAGTAATAAACATCTATTCGCGTCCAAAAGACTCGGGAGGAGAGTGAACCGGACATAAACGAACATCGCCCGTTTCACACTACACTGAAGTCAGAATAGAAGACAAAGATGTTAAACAGATAATTGTTCTTTTTAAAAAGCATTATTATTATTATTACTACTACTATTATATTTTTTTTTATTTCCTTTAATTTCTGGTGGGTACACATTTTTTCCGGGTCCCGCTCAGAGACCTAAGTTTAGAAATGGCGTCATGGCTTTTTCCACTGACGAATTAGAAAGTTAAAATCACACAAACATATTTTACATAGATAAATCACATCGTAAGGTGTGGGCTGTACTCGCGAGAACATTTTTCTTTAAGGCATGGACTCCAAGAAATCCCTTCAGTTAATCTACTGGAATCTTTTCCAACCAATCCGAGGGCTCCAACTACAACATTTTCGAGATTTGTATTTCAATTATTATTATTACTATTATTATTATTATTATTATTATTATTATTATCCTTTGTGGATGTAATCTTTCCTGCTTTGTATCCCGTAGATCCGAGTCCAAACTACGGTCCTTACGTCCTATAAGAGAATTTTCATTTAATTGATAGCACTTCTCTTAGTATATCTAATGTTCCCAGTAGGGCGATCTACTAACTTTTATGGTGACGTTACCTGGGACACTATTAATAAACTTGTCCATTTCTTTCCCACGAGGCCCAGTGCTCCGATTACTATTAGTACAGCATCAGTCTTCATTCCCATCATCCTGTAATCTCTAGATACTTGTATTTAGAAAACTTCTCGATGATATTTTTATGGAGGCGTTTCTCTAAGACGGTACCGTTATGTCAATAAGCATACACTTTCTGAATTTTTTGTGTTTTGTTATAATATCAGATCTTTTGCCATTTATTTCCTCGTCAATTTGAATTGGCATATCCCAGAGGATAGTTACATCGTTATTTTGGGTAACGGTGACTAGTTGGCGTTCATACCGTCTCTCTGGTTTAAAGAAAAGTTTATTATCAGTTTTTGTATTGTATAGCTTATAAAATAAAACTGTATATAAATTACTAACAAATAAATACATAACAAAAGAAAATTAAAATAATAAATAAAAATCGACAAGTCACTGTCACGACGATTACCAACACAACCATGGTCTCCACTACTTTCACTACAACTATTGAATTACTCTTTGTTTTTTTTTTTTCTTAATATCTATCTATCTATCTATCTAACCCTAAAAGTCTTTGAATCGTGCGTACGTCGGCCGTTGGACGCATGATGATCTCTTTCCACTTTTCTGTTTCTTTTAGACGCTTTTGTAATTCAAACAAAGACGCCGTTAAAAATTTAAACAACAACAGTAACAATGCAATTATACCAGTACCAATTATGTAATATGCAAGTCATTAATAACACATTTAATAGCAATGTCAATGATAATGATAGCAATAAACTTAATATCATGTTTTTAAAATTTAAATATTATTAATTTAAAATATAATTTGCGGTAATGAGCAAATTCACACACAAACATAATATATATATATATATATATATATATATATATATATATATATATATATATATAATATAAAATACTTTTTAAGAAATATGAAACCTTTCATTGATTTATAGTCACATAAATTTAAATTAAAATAAGTTAGATATTTCTGCTGAGTTATATCTATGCTAAAGTATATATTTCAGAAAATTAATTTAAAAAATGAAACCTAAATTATTATTATTATGTCGGTGCTCACATAGCTTCTGATCCCAATCGACATCGTGGTATTTTTTCAAAATGTTCCGTCTCCTTGGAATCCATTCTTTTATTATATGTAACGCCAAAGTCAATAATAACATATTTCACCGTTGCTCCTACGTGGATGCTTTTCCAATCACTGCTATCTGTAACTCATCAAGTTAAATCTAAGTCATTACTTTATCCTCCATATGCACATAATCTTCACTTCCTACTCGTGCGACTTACGACCATATCATGTTGAAACACCGTTTCTCGTTCGATTACTGAAGTTAAGCAACGTCGAGTCAGTTCAGTACCTAGACGGGTGACCGCTTGGGAATAACAGGTGCTGTAAGTTTGAATATCCGGGTTTTTTAATGTATAACAGTTCTGAATAGGAAATCGGGAAACCCGAGTTCGATTTCTATTCGGGTTTGTTATATTCACAAATCTCATTAGAAAATGCATCAATTAAACAATTAACCTGTTTCGCAACTATGGGTTAATTAGTATGATTTATGTTAGTAAACTGTTATTATTATAAAAAAAAAACATTACTATCTAAAAAAATAATTTCTGGTTTCAAATAATCTGCAAAAGGTTGATAAACCGTAAAAAATCGATGTCAATCTAAATTCTACTATATACTTTTATTTTGCAAACCTCATTCAGTAACGCTTCAATTTGAAGGGATATTAAGACTTCCACTGGATGTACACTTGTAAAATCAAAATATTATTTTTTGAGGAGGCGGGGTGTATTATTCTCCAGTTTCAAACTTTGAAATTCAGCAAGCTCCCATTCGGCTATCTACAGCCAAACATTCATTCGTAGAGTAAAGTTGATATTTTTATAGTTTGTTTTGTACATTTTGAAGTTAAGGCAAGGATGCGTCTTCTCACCCGACCTGTTCAACCGATACCGCGACGCAATTCTGAGAGAATTTGAAACCGTACCGGGATTTTAGCATTAGCGGACACAGTTTTGACAACATAAGATAAGCAGATGACACAATACTGATAGCAGACACGGAAAAGAAATTACAAAATCTCCTACAGAAGGTAGCGACGGAGAGTAAGAAGAAGGGACTAAGCATAAACTACAAGAAGACAGAATGCATGGTCGTCAGTAAGAGGAGGAGCCCGAAATGCAATTTGCAGGTCGGGAACATTAGAATCAAGCAGACGCGGAAGTTTAAATATCTGGGAAGCGTTTTGATAGAGGACAGTAAGTGCGACACTGAGATCCGTAAACGTATTTGGATGGCCAAAGACGCTTTCTTAAAGCTGGGTAGAGTATTGTGAGACAAGAGGATTTCTTTGATAACAAATAAAAGAATACTGAGTTGTTACGTGACATCGATTTCCTCAAAGATGAAGAAGAGACTCGAGACGATAGAGATGTGGTTCTACAGAATGATGCTAAGGATATCATGGACCGAGCGTGTGAGCAACGATGAGGTCTTAGAGAGGTTGTAAACAAGGAGGAGGCTATACCTAACACCAGGAAGAGTCAGCTGAAGTTTCTGGGACATATAATGAAAAAGGAGAGCCTGGAGAATCTGATACCCACGGGTCGAATAGAGGGAAAGAGAGACAAAGGAAAACAATGCGTGACATACCTGGCGGGCTTAAGCAAATGGTTGACTGAACGTGATCTGAGGGAGGTGGCAGAGAGAATGAAATTGTTGAGAGCCTCAAGGGATAAAGAGAGGTGGAGAGCCATGATCGCCAACGCCCTGAAAGGATGTGGCAGAAAAAATTTTACATTGAAACCAGTTTCCAGTTTGTGTTCATATCAAATCTTTGTATGATAATATCCACATTGTTAACACGATTCATGAACCTCATATGATTCACATTTCTTCCAAAGCTAGTCTGAGATCGATTTTGTGCATATAATTTTATGATGTTACATCGATTTTCTTTTTACATTGATGCTATTTGTTTTCTGTTTTGCTTTTTTGCTTTGCTATTACTAGAGATGATTATAGCATGTTGATAACTGTAACACTCGGTCCTACAATATAACTGGAAATGATGGACCTTATCCGCACAGAAGAAACTTGAAGCGATGGAAATGTGGTCCTACCGAAGGATACTGAGATTAACATGGATTGAACTTGTGAGCAGGAACGAAGTCTTAGAGAAAATAGAAACAAAAAAAAAATACTTAACATCAGAAAGAGACTGCTAACGTATTCGTGGCATATAATGAGGAAAGGGGGTTTGGAAAACTTGATACTCACAGGACATATTGATGGCAAGAAGAAGAAAAGAAAACAACGCATGACGACATAACGTGCTTGTGTAAATAGATGGCTGAAGATTAATATTTTCATTGCCAACCTCAGTGCTAGTTTTAACTTTCAAAGACAGTGATAATGAGAAAGAGAAAAATATGCGAGTCTCTGGTCGAAAAAATTTGACGACCCCTGCCCTTGACCTATTTTAACTATAATTTAATATTTAATCCATGAAAATTGGGGTGGGTGGTTAGATACCTTTTCTACAGTTGAATATATTATGTAAATTAGGTATCTGTAAGAAACTGATCATAGCCAACATGTCGGAATTGGAATCCTGCTTACGGATTTCTCTTCAAGAGTCATTACATTAGCAGCACCCCCGTAGCTACAACCATATTGTTATTTATTACACTATGTTATTATTCGAATTTGGAGGTTAAACTAATATTGTTATTTTTCTTCTTTTTTAGGTAAGTGGAAATATCGATTCGTCTTATCTATTTGGCCAATATCACCAACATCATTCTACAAATAACCTGACTAATCATCATCACAATTCACATTTGATCTTCAGAGTCTCAAACTAAAAAAAGCTTATAACATCGAAGCCAACTGTACGGTTTGTTTTCATCTTCTTTTTAATTTTTATTTCTTTTTTTGCATTTTTTTTGTTTTTATATTTGTGGATTTTATTCTAACATTTTTATTTTTCATTATACTCGTTTCCTACTTTGCATCGATTTTTGCTACCTTTATATTTTTTTTCTGTCAAAAGATCAAAGAGAAATGCTCTTTATGAATCATCTGAGAAAACTCTTTTCTGTATCCAATCAACATGGCTGATGCTAACCTCCAACGGAGTAACCTGTTGTGCCTTGTCGAACTTACATTCTCGGCTGACATGAAGTGGAAAGACTATATTGAATCCATTGGTAGAACAGTTGCTTAAAAAGTTGGTTTACATTGTCGTACGAGACATTTTTTTTTCTTTCCAGAATATATTTTACATATCTATAAGTACTTACAATATTGCTGCTGCATATAGTCCAGTGCTCATTCTATATATTTATAGAGTTTTGATAAAATCCAAAGTAGAATCATTCTGACCTGACATTTGGGCTTCAGTCACTTTCTCACCGCCGTAAAATTGCTTCCTTGTGCCTGTTCTATAAATACATTCATGGTAATTGTTCGGATGAGTTCTTCGCTATGGTAATAGCTTTTGTATTCATAGTGTAAATACTCATTGGGGCTAGTTTTTAGAATTGTTGTTTTTTTTATTTTCCTCCCCACCACAGACAAATGAGTTGTAAATATGGGGACTAGTTAGTTTTTTCATAGAGACAAAGAGGTATTATGGTGGTTGTAGTAAGAAAGGTACGTATGAATGTGTTGTTTTGGTGTAAGGAATATTGTTCATACAATTGGGTCAGTGTTTGCGGCTAGCTAAGTTATAGTTAAGATAGAAGAAGACCGTCCTTTCCCCAATCCCCTTTTCGGCCTTGTGCCACATTTCTGTAGATAACAGAATAAATATCGCTCTTCGCTATGGTATGAGTTAAGATTTCCTAGAGACATTAAGGTATTATGGTGGATGTTGTAAGAATGCGTCGTTTTGATATAAGGGTTATTGTGGTATGTTTGAGTTAGTGATCTTGGCTCGCTGAGTTTAATGTCAAGACAGAAGATGTCCATCCTTTTCACCATTCCCCATTTTGGCCTTGTGCCACCTTTCTGTACATAATGCGGAATACATAACGCTCTTCGCTATGGTACCTAGATTATTTTTTTTTAATTTAAACTTGGTCTCATCAATTTACAATGATTTGGCTAGATGTGACCGTAAGTTCTATGGTAATAATTTCTTTTCTCGCACTTCTCAATTGTGGTACATTCTGCCGGTTACATGCATCTCAGATCTCAAAAATTGAAATGCAATGTCAATCGTTATTTAATGTCTTTTTCCCTTTTTTATGTCCTCCCTCTCTCCCGCAATCTCTCTCTCTCACTCTCTCTCTCTCTCTCGCTCTTCTTTTTTCTGCACCGACAAAGATGTATACTTACAATGGCATTTGGAGATAGATAGATAGATAGATAGATAGATATATCATCTAACAAGTTGGATCAATTAATTGATATATACCTAATTAAACCAAATGAGATATAGATAGATAATGCGGCATGCCACACCAGTCGACATACAGTTAATATATATATAAATAAATATATATATATATATATATATATATATATATATATACTCGACTCTCCGTCAAATTCGACGTATGAGGGTCAAGCACATCAGTTTCTTGGACAGCCCGACAACAGCACATGAGATTTGATTATAGTGGTGAAGGCTTCGTGCAGGACCATCCACACTTTTTGAAGGGCCGATCACAGAGACCTGGTGCACTACGTGCCACAGGGTCCCCAAACGACCCTCCGCTGGTTTTGAATTCAAAGTTGTCCTTCTCCTAGACCAGTTGCCATCCAAGGCTATAGAACCCAGTCTGTTCTGCTATTTTACCCATAGCTGGAGGGAGAAGATGATTCACAGCTTTCCCAAGGGTATTAGCACGTATTACACACACACACACACACACACATATATATATATATATATATATATATATATATATATATATGAGAGAGAGAGAGAGATTGTATTTAAATTCTCGTGACAACGACAATGTCCCTTGAAGCCTACAAGTGATTTGCAATGTCTATTGCAAGGTAGCGTACTAAGTTGTTTTGTTCAGGGCCTGGCCACTTTTGCACATTATGTTCGGCCTGTTCATGGGTTCTCATGTGACGGTTGAGACAGGAAGATTTCTCCAGTCTTTCTAACACACCATGCATTTTAAGTTATTACAGCGCAGCACTGACCACAATTTGTCAAAGTTCTACCAATATAAACCTGTTCTTCTTACTAACAACTCCTGCAGTAGACAAACACTGAAAACAAAATTGATGGATCGACGCATCAATAACTGCCCCTTTTCTTGATGTTCGCTTGACATTTGCCCAAATCATTGTATCTTCTTGGAAGTCGCTCTATGAATCATCTGCCTGAATTTCCATCGACCTGAAGCAGTAGTTTCCTACTC